TTTAAGATCGACACTCTTTGCACTTACATCTGTAGCATTTTACCTTGTGCGTTATCCCTTATAGTGTTGTTTGCCTCCTCTTGATGGCCTTTACCTTTTACAATTTGCGTGCAATAACGCCTTCCAAAGATGGAAATGACTGCCGAAGATGCTGCCGTAAGGCGGATGGAATTTACTTGATCAAGCAGTCGATCCAGCCTACAGTTTTTGAATATATTGGAATCCCGGAAGGTTTATGTTTATAAATATGTGGCACGCGTACACTGTGTGGGCACTCCAACTTTGGCTTCTGGTTCCGTAATATTTTCATTTTATGCTTAAGGCTTTACTGGCGAGCAGCTCAGCTTGTTTGAGTTGCACCCACAGCTTTCTACGTTCCGATGCGAAATAATTTTAATTTTGGCAATTTGTTTCCTCATGGCCCCTCTATTTCCAAATTGAAGTCCCTGTACAACGTTCACCCCTTCCAAATTAATGTCCCCACTACTTTGGAACGAAATAGATCGTAGACAAAATTCACATTTCTTATGTTGGAAGCCCGTAATGTTATGCTTTTCCGTTCCAAAACAAGATAGAACTGGTATCTAAGTAAATGCATTTTTTTAAATTTGTTGTAGCTCGACCCTGTTCCTTCCAAACTCGTAGCACCTTTAAACCTGAATTCTATTTAATGCCTTCTACCATGCTGTCAGGCCTGGATTCGTCGGTGGAAACTTCACTTTTGGCATATTCACAGCGGGATTTCCTTTCAAGCAGAACTTCTGCGCAATATAAAGATATGCGCGACAGAAAATATGCCTTTGTCAAATGTGTTACGGCAGATTTGCTTAATCCAGTTGACCCAATTGTGAAAAAATTTCGGCCCTGGTAGGAGTTGAACCAACACAGCAGGGAAGGCTTTTGCGCAGCCGACGCTCTACCATTTGAGCTACGAGGCTCATCGTGAGCCGTGCATTTAATCACACCTGAATCGATTTTAACCGCCGAACTTTCTGGTCATTTGGAATTCACCACTACGAAACAGTAAGGTTACTGTCCAGGCAATTGGCTCAACTGAATTAAGCAAATCTGCCAAACCCCCCTAACAATTAAGTTAGCCTATACGTCATTCTGTTGGATTTTAGATGATTGATTAGGAAATCCTACCTTGGCAGTCAGCTTGCTGTACCTTAATGGTGGATTTCATACGAGCAGTAAGTTGAGCTTGTAAAATCGACGCAATCGTGATTAAATTAACAGCACATGGTGAGCCTCGTAGCTCAAATGGTAGAGCGTTGGCTGTGTTATGTGGGTTCGACTCCCACTGAGGCCGCGAATTTTTCACAATTGGGTCAACTGAATTTATCAAATGTCATCTGAACGTTAACGAGGATGAAGAGAGCACAGATCAGCTACCAAGCAAATCGTTGACTACTGAGTAACCCGACCTATACAGCACATTTATTTTCTGTCCGTTCGTTGTCAAGGCAGGGAATAGTAGGCTCAAGTTCACTGTGACTTTCTGTGTGCGGTTGACCCTTGGAGTGATTAAGGTAGAACGAACAGGCGAAAGAGCATTTGGCTGCAGCTTTTAAAATAGTGATCTTTTTATAAACCACTTCCACAGAAAAAGCTTGCTTTATCGATCGTGGAATACAAAGCCAGAGACGGACGTTCAGATGAACAAAACACTAGCTACCGGGGGCCTATCGCATGCGAAAATACTGATTATTTACGTAGAGTGCATTTCAATCGCAGGATTTCTAGGCCGATATTTATTCAATTATATCGCTCTTAAATCATACACAAAATAATGATTGCTTTGTGTTGTTTGTAGAAGAACTGCATCTTTATTTCGTTATTTCTTAAAAGGTTACGTATTTCGATTACAAAACAGTCTGTAACTATGAAACTGCTTTGAGTGTTTGCGTGAATATCAATGTGTTATAATTTATGCAGACCTAGCCAAACTGCTCTCCAAGTTTACAAAAAAAGGCATGTATAACATAACATCACTCAGCATTGGCAGGTGCCCTCTCGGATAGTGCACGGAATAAATGAACTTGCTTTCGAAAAAATTGTACTTTTGCGGATTTGGACTGAATATCCGTAAAAGCTGATTGTACTTTAAAATCGCTTCGAAATTCTAAACACAGCCTCAAAATGTAAACAGCCAGAATTCGTGCAACATGTCGACATATGCGAAATATTGATACTCTTTCGCTACTCGGCATTGACTCAGTTTGTGATACTGATTATCGTGTAGCATATTCTGAAGTTATTACAGACATAATAGGATGCCGGCTTTTTAACGAGCTTCGTTCTGACCACTAATAAAACATATGTACTGTGAACAGAAGATATTAAAATAGTATGCGTTTTTGTCATTGGATTTTGATTGCCTTTATAAATTCAAATATATTTTATGCAAAACATGCACGAAAAAATATTTCTTGTACTCTTTTGGTAGCCAGTTACACCTCCTTTAAATTTCGTACTTAAAGAAAGAGTACATTTCGATTTTAGAAAAAATTCTAATTATGAGCTTTTTAACGATTGTAAGTTGTTCATTCATACTACATCATATCCGTCAATTTATTAATGCCGCCTATACTGTATAAAGCATGCTCCACATCTATTGCGTCATTTTGTGAAAACTATGTGACTTCTTCCTCAAACTGCAGGTGAAAACTTACTTTTCCTTAAATAGGATGAACACAGTGCGTAGGTTGTAAACCTTGAATTCAAGTGTAGCAGTCGGTAGGTTTCAAAATCATTCGGCAATTGAGAGACTGTTTTAATACCGAAAGATAACTTTCCTTTAAGTATGAAATTTAAAGAAGGCGTAATTTGCTACGAAATGAGTACAAGAAATATTTTTAGTGCATATATTCTATAAAATATATTTTTGAATTTATAAAGGCACTCAAAATCAATGATAAAAATGCATACCATTTAATTAGTTGCCTTTACCATTACATACGTTTTGTTAGTGGTCAGAAATAAATTTGTTATTCCTTCCATCATCCCCGGAAGAGGAAGAAGAAGAAAAGACGATTTCTGGGACCAAGAAGTATTTTAGCGGACGTTTCAATAGCGTGCTCGCTTCCATCGTCAGAGCGTGGAGTCCGTGCTCCTGTTCACGTCATATGAAGGTGTCCGACCACTTGCCTTGCCTAATACCCATGTGTCAATCGATTGCACCGATCGATGTTTGTGACTGTTTGAATTGCTCGTGC